CTGGCACACGGGCTTAGCTGCCCAAGGCTTGTGGGATCTTCCCAGACCAGGGATCGAACCCGTGTCCCCTGCATTAGCAGGTGAATTCTCAAGCGCTGGACCACCAGGGAAGTCCCCAGGTCACTTTACATTGGCAGAGATGTTGAAATTTTGAGTCATGCTGGACTGGACATTTTCATACTTGAAAATGAGACTATTCTGATAGCTGAGAATGACCCCAAAACTATGCAATCCTCCAGAACATGGCTGAAATCGGTGATAAAAGATGGTTTCCTGATGTAATTCTTCAAGTTCAACCTCTGGAATTTTAACCACTTGACACCCATGTAACCCTTCTAATCCACCCCTTTTTCAAGTCCACAGTTTAATGGTGATACCATTAAAATGTTTAAGATGCCCATCTAGGGGTTTCCCAGGTGGTGCTAGGGGTAAAGAATCCACCTGCAAACATAGGAGACACAAGAGACACAAGTTCAATCCCTGGGTCGGGAAGATCCCCTGGAGTCAAAAATGGCAACCCACTCCAGTATTCTTACTTGGAAAAGCCCATGGACAGAGGAGCCTGGTGGACTACAATCCATAGGGTCGCAAAGAGTCAGACACGACTGAGCACACACATGCTAAGTCTTAGGATCTCCACTACTCAGCACCTACCCTAGAGAAGCCCTTGCACATGTGCACACAGAGACACTTCCACAGATGTTCACAGCAGCTTCGTTTGTGATAACAAAGGTTAAAGATAAAATACCAGTTAATCAGGGAATGATGAAGGGAGCTGTCACATTCACACGGTGAAATAATACACAGCAATCAAAAAAGAGAAGGTTCTTTCTGCCTAGTAACGTGGACAAATCTCCTGACTCTATGACTGAACTGAAAAGAAAAGACATTGCAGAATATGCAGAATAATGTGTCATATTCATGTAGAGTATGGCATCATTTATATAGAAAGAAAAACACTATATCATATATTATCTGTGGGACACATAAATGCACAGAAAGTCCTGGAAAACTACTCATCAAACTGACAACAGGGATCATTTCTGATGAGCAGGCTAGTGAGATGCTAGTTGTTGTGAGCCCTAGGGTTATGAGGATAAATTAGATAAGGGAAATACTGAATATAAAATTACTGAGGGGGTTCCCTGGTGGCTCAGTGTTAAAGAATTCACCTGCCAATGCAGGCGACATGGGTTAAATCCCTGATCTGGGACAATCCCATATGCCACAGGGCAGCCAAGCCTGTGCACCCTGACTATTGAGCCTGTGCTCTAGAGACCGGGAGCTGCAGCTACTGATGCCCGCATGCCCTAGAGCCTGTGCTCCACAAAAGAAGCCACTGCTATGAGAAGCCTGCACACCCCAACTAGAGAGGAGCCCCTGCTCACCCCAACTACAGAAAAGCCTACGCAGCAACGAACACCCAGCACAGTCAAAAATAAAGAAAAATTTTTTAAAATAAAAATAAAGTTGTTGACACATAACAAGCTCTCAATAAATGTTTTTACCTGCAGTTTAGCATGGCCCTGGCAGGCACTAGTTTTCTTGGACACTCAGGAGTCAGGAAGCACCAGAAACCTCTCTGCAGCCAGTTGTGATGGGTTCCCAGGGTCTCCACAAAGGGGAAGAACTCAGGGAGGAGGTTCTGGTCCTTTTCTGGAGGAATCCACCTCTCTGTCCCCATTTCACCTTCCTCCAGCTCCAGGGAGATTCTGGCTGAACCAGGCGGCCCCCAACCAACAAGGAACACCCAGATCAGGCAGGGTTTCCCATAAACTCGCCGCTTGCTGACTGCCTTTGGCTCAGGGACTCCATCTGCCACAATCAGCCAAGGGCAAGGTCACCGGGTCATTCCCCTCAAGGCACACAGCCCAAGCCAGGATAACTTTCCATAGAAAGAACCTGTGAAGATTGGGAAAAGAAAGTTCCCTGCTGTAACTCCAACTCATGGGACAGATGGCTGAGGGCAACAGCAGAAGAGCAGCGAGACCCTTCCCCGACCTTCTGTGCAAAGCCCAGCTCCCGGCCAACGACCACGTGTGGTAGGGGCACAAAGGTGGGCTCGCGGACACCCAGGGCTCCTCTCAGGGGCAGCTCTCTGGAGGAGTCCCCACAACAGTCCCTCCAAACTTCCCTCTCTCCCTCACTCCAGGTCAGACAGGCACCATGATCTATGGCCCCATTTTCTCTTTCACAGGAGTCTTCCCTCAAAACAATCAGGCACGTTGAATCCTGTCTTGGCCTCTGCTTCTCACAGTCCCTTCTTCCTAGAAAGGGCCTAGGACCACTTGGGCACCAACCGCCCTCCGCAGACACCCACGACAGGGATTCAGCCCAGTGGCTGCACATAGTACGGAGGTGCTGGGGTCGAGAGAGAATAAGCATGGTGGTGTTGGGACTTCCCTGGTGGTTGAGAATCTGCCTCCCACTGCAGAGGACACAGGTTCGATCCCTAGTTGGGGAGCTAAGATCCCACAGGCTGCCGAGCACCTAAGCCCACGCGCCACAAGTACTAAGCCCGAGTGCCACAAATAAACACCCTGTTTGCCACAGCTAAGATCAGATGCAGTCAAATAAACAAATGAATTTTTTTTAATGTGATATTTCTGGAGAGTATTGAAGGATGAGTAGGGAGAGCAGGGAAAAGCCATTCCTAGCAGAGAGTTGTGCAATGTGGGGGATACAGGGACCCCAAGAGTTCGGTAGGGCCAGAGTGTAGACGTATGTGTACAGAAGGCATAAGATGAAGCTGGAGGGGGACCTCCCTGGCAGTTCAGTGGTTAGGACTCAGCTTTCACTGCTGAGGGCCTGGGGTTCAATCCCTGGTGGGCGAAATAAGATCCCACAAGCCTCCTGCAAGGAATCTTGGAATCCTTGGAAGTTTTGAGCAACTGAATCACGTGACCATATTTGGATTTTTAGAAAGATTTGATGGGTCCATCAAGACTGAAGGCTGGACAGGCAATGAGAAGATTGTTGTTGTTTACTTGCTCAGTCTTATCCCACTCTTCGTGACACCATGGACTATAGCCCGCCAGGCTCCTCTGTCCATGGGATTTCCCAGGCAAGAATATTGGAGTGGGTTGCCATTTCCTTCTCCAGGGGATCTTCCTGACCCAGGGACTGAACTCACAACTCCTGCATTGGCAGGCAGATTCTTTACCCCTGAGCCACTGGAGAAGCCCACGTGAAAGAAAGTGAAAGTGTAGTCGCTCAGTTGTGTCTGACTCTTTGTGACCCCATGGACTGTAGCTCGCCAGGCTCCTCTGTCCATGGAACTCTCCAGGCAAGAATACTGGAATAAGTTATCATTCCCTTCTCCAGGGTTCCCGACCCAGGTATCAAACCCTGGTCTCTAGAACTGCAGACAAATTCTTTATCATCTGAGTCACCCATACTACCTAGCAATAGATCAGTCATCTCTTGACACAGATTTAATACGGAAGGAGTCGAACTACAATCGTGTTTATTCACACTGCTGGATTTGACCACCAACGAATCCCTTCACTTAACGGTTTTATTTTCTAACAAGAAAGAGCTTCTCAGATGAATCCTCTCTTCTGTGTCCCAGAGCCAGGGTGCAACAGGCCTTCCTCTGGGAGATGCAGCCAGAAGCACACCCCCAGCCAGATCCTGAGGCCTTTCTTACCCTACACCTTCCTCTCCCCTCCACCCCCAGAAAATTCCCACACTGGCGTCAGTTGCCAGGGGGCCCCACACCTCACATAGCAGCAGCAGCAGCAACCCCACTGGTGACAGCAAATGGCCCCAGGCCTTCATCCTTCCTTAGGATAGGAGGGGCAGCAGTCCCACTTGCCTGAACCCCCAAAGCCTCTCCCTCCAGGGAAGAGGGGCTCCCACTCTTGGCTTCAGTGGTTATTTTAGACCCAAAGGCCTAAAAAAAATGTTCACACGTGAGGAAGCAACTCAGAGGGAGGGTGATGAGATGGGGGCTTCCTCTCCTTCTCAAGCAGCAGGCCCCTGGGGCAGGGCTCTTTCTCTTGGTTAGCAACTGGGCCGGGGGGGGGGGGGGGGTGTCCTCCACGTCTGAGATACTCAGTCAACATAATCCGGAGGCAAAGGGCAATAAATGGGGGGTTGGTTTATTCACCCAGCAAAGGCTCTGGCTTCCCAGGTGGCACTAGTGGTGAAGAACCCGCCAGCCAATGCAGGAGACGCGGGTCTGATCCCTGGGTCAGGAAGATCCCCTGGAGGAGGGCATGGCAACCCACTCCAGTATTCTTGCCTGAAGAATCCCCACTGATAGAGGAGCCTGGCAGGCTACAGTCCACAGGGTCGCAAAGAGCTGGAGACAACTGAAGCGATTTGGCACACAGGCTCTGACAGTTTCTAAATGGCTGTGGCCTGGAGGAACGTATTTTGGGCTTTCTATGCCTCATGGCTGACAGCTTCGTGATAACTCTGTGTAAGAGCAAGCTGACTGAACAGAAGGCCAGCTGAGTCAGCAACGCTTCAGGTGTGATCCAGCTTGTGAGAGGCAGCATCAGCTGTCCCTGAGGACTCGCTAGAAAGGCCCACTTTTGACCCACCCCTGACCTACTGAACCAGAAATTCTGCCATCTGGGCTTTAGCCAAAGCATTGCAAGGTGCTCTGAAAAGGTGATTTTGGTGCATATGCTCCAGTTGGAGAATCACCCCAGTGGAAGGCTTCTTGCGGTGGTGAGACCAGACCCGACTTCAGAGGCCCCACAAGGCGGAAAGCAGCGGGAGGCTTCCGGGCCTCCTGACTCCCGCAGAGTTCTCCAGCTCCTCCCCAAGCCCCCCGACCCTTCCTCAATCTCAACTCTTCCCTGATTGTTGGGGCTTCCCGGTTGCCCAGCTAGAGTTTCTCCATTGACCTGACTTCAGGTCTTCCCTTCCCATCACCACCCCAAACCCTGGCTGGCGGTCCCCGGCACATGCCAACCCCCAACTTCTCAGAATGCTTGGAGTCCCGTCCCCAACCCCCTCCGCCCTGCCTGCAACCCCGGCGACCCCGACCAGGTCCCCTCACCCCTCCCCGAACCCGACGGGCAGCTCAAGCCTCCGAGCCGCCGCCGCTGCCGCCGCCGCCGACGTCAGGCCCCACGAGCAGCAGCGGCTGCGCATTTTTGCCCTTGTCGTGCCAACACACGTCGAAGAAGGGGTACACGGGCCCCGGCAGGCGCTCGTGGAAGGCGAAGAGCAGCTCCAGCGCGTCGGGGTCGCTGGCGTCGTAGAAGGAGAGGACGCCGTCGCCGAAGCTCAGGTAGATCCCGATGCGCGTGGGCCGCCTCTCCGGGGTGCGCAGCGCGCGCGGCTCCTTGGCTTCGACGTGGGCCTCCAGGATCTTGCCGTCGCGCAGCCCGAGCAGCCAGAGCCCCTGCGAGGGAACCGCGTGCAGCCGGCCGCGGCGACCGGCCTGAGCGCCGATCACGCCCAGCGCCCAGCGCGGCTTGTCGCCCACCTCCACCTCCCAGTAGTGCTCGCCCTCGGAGAGCAGCTGGTGGGTCACCACCGCCACCGCCTTGTCGAACTGGCGAGGGTCCTCTCCGGCCGGCGGCGCCTTCTGCTCCGAGCACTCCACGCGGCGGCCCGAGTTGGACAGCACCAGGCTCGGGTGGGCTGTGCTCGGGTCAAAGGTCAGCTCCTGCAGCGCTGCCACCGGAAGGAAGCGGGTCAGACCCTGCGGGTGGGCTTCCCTGCGAGCCTTCTCCCAACCCGCCTGTGGGGGGCGCAGCTCTTCTCATCCTCCCAGCATCTCTGGGCAGCGATCCCCGCCTCGGCTTACGGACTCGGGCCAAAGGCCACACCTCTCAAGGCTTCAGTTTGTTCAGCTGTAAAATGAGACCATAATTCCCTCCTTCCAGGGTTGTGGGGAGGACTAGGTGGATACAGGGCCGTGGCACTCACCATCTAAGGCCTTAGAGCAGGAGATAGTCAGGAAGCCTGGTCCTAAGCTAGTCTCAACCTCACCCCGCTGTGTGACCAAGTCAGGTTTGACCAGTCTCTGGGCCTTAGTCTTCTCTTGGCTAAAGCAGAGGTCCCTCCATTCCCCCCAGTGAGGCCGGGTATGCATCTGCTGGAGCTCTAGCTCCCCAGCGGGCTCTAGCTCTTGCGGAGAAGAGGATGAATGAGCCCTTGGGTCTCCCCGGCCACAGGCCAGAGTCAGTGTCCTGCTCCCAGGGTTCCAGCTCCACAGGTCCTCAGCTCCCAGTTAGCAGGGGGTATCATCCCCACTGGCCAGCAGGGGCAGGGATGGTCCATGGGTCATGCAGGGCTCAAACCCAGGCCCCAGCTTCCCCTGCTGCCGGCAGTAGCATCCTTTCAGTAAGCAGGGCTTTCTGTCAGGACTTCCCTGGTGGTCCAGTGGCTAAGATTCTGCACTCCCAATGCAGGGCGCCTGAGGTTTGATCCCTGGTTGGAGAACTAAATGCCACAGCCAGGAACTAAAGATTCTACATGCCACAGTGAAGATGGAAGAGCCTTCATGCCCCAGCTAAGATCCAGTGGCACAACCAAAAAAAAACAATGCCCTCTCCATGTCAATCACCCACCTGAAAACCCCATGCCCTTTAAAGTCCTTCTCTGAGCACAGGTTACAAGGGTGCTAACCCCGAGGGAAAGGGGCAGTGGGCACCTTCTAGGGTGACCTCCCCAGTTGGGATTGAGAGGCCTCTCTGTATGCGGCTGGGGCCTCCCATCAACCACACCATCACAAGCACAAACCCAGGGTGAGCCCCTCCCAGTACCTGGCATCAGAGCCCGGAACATCTTCCTCCACACCTGGAATTTGAAGTCATCTGAGATGATGGGCAGCTGGATGTCCAGACGGGCCGGTGGTGGCGACTCTGCCAGGATCTTCTGCAGCCTGGGGGTGGGGAGAGGGGAGGAAGGGTCAGTGAAGGGACTCCCTGGAAGAGGCACAGAGTTGGGGGAGGGCAGGGGCAGTACCGAAGACAGGAGGAAGGAGCTGTGGTCAAGTTCCAGGATGTGCCCCCCATCATACCCTGTTTTAAAGCCCTTCTGTTTTCATTTGTTTGGAAAGATGAAAAAGGTGTGAGATGGATGGTGGTGATAGTTACACAACAATGTGAATGTACTTAATGCCACTGAACTTAAAATGTACTCTAAAAAAAAAAAAAAAAAGGCNAAACCCACATCTCCTGCATTGGCAAGCAGATTCTTTACCACTAAGCCACCAGGAAAGTCCATATATATTTTACCAGAATTTTTTCAAAGCCTTCTCTTTGGATAAGGTCCAGCTCCTACCCCCTTCACAGTTTGACCCCCTCCAGCCACCCCAGCTTCATCTTCGCTTCCTCTTAGCAGTCTGCGCTTGCTGTTCCCTCTGCCTCCAACGCTCTTCCACCAACCCTCTACTTGCATGCTACATTGCTTCAGTCATGTCTGACTCTTTGCAACCCTATGGACAGTAGCCCACCAGCCTCCTCTGTCCATGGGATTCTCTAGGCAAGAATATTGGAGTGGGTTGCCATGCCCTCCTTCAGGGAATCTTTCCAACCCAGGGATCAAACCCGCATCTCTTACGTCTCCTGCATTGGCAGGCAGGTTCTTTACCACCAGCACCACATGGGAAGCCTGTTCACTCCTTCAGCATCCAGCTCTAACATGCACACCTTTGGAAAGCCTGGCCCCGCCACCACCCCCCACCCCCCCAACAGCAGCACTGAGTGACGCCTGTGTCCCTGCCCGCATCTGTCTCCAGCACTGGTCTGGGAGGTCCCTGAGGACAAAGACGGGTCAAGGTCATGTCCACACAAAGGGCAGGGGAATCCCAGTGGACTGAACGGGAGGAGAGGGTGAACCAGCCAGTGTCCCTGGCAGACAAGGGCAAGGTGGGAAAGCGGGCAGGGCCAGGCTGATCTCACCTGCTGGTCACCAGGCAGTATTTCTGGAAAGAGAGAAAAATGAGAATGGAGATGAGCAGGCAGGGGGGACACTGGGGGTTTCTGAGGCTGGGGCAGAACACAGAAATGCTGGGTGCGGGGTCAGGAAAAGTCAGAAAAGACAAAAGAAACCCAGAATTCAAGGCCACCCCTAGCCCTTTACTATATGAATTAGAAAAAACTACCGCCTTCCTCAAGAAACTAATTCTACCTGATTAAAAAGTATCCTAATAAAAATGCAGATCTACAACCTCTATGATATAAATAATGCCCTCTTAGATACAGCGTCCTTGTGCAGTGCCCCACCTAAACAACCATAAGGGCCATCCTGGGGCGTACCCGTCCTCGGTGTGTGACCCTAGCTCATCCCTGCCTGTCTCTGGACCTCGGAGTCCCTATGTGACAATGGAATGAGGTCTCCAAAGCCTAATCCCTGGCTGAGGGCCAGAGGGAAGCCATCCAGTGCTCACCATGAGGAACTCTGTCTGTGGCTTGTCTGCCACCTCCTCCAGCACCTTCTCCATCTGCCGCAGCTGCTCCAGGTAAGAGTTCAGGCTCCCCAGCTCCCGCCGCAAGGCGACCCCTGCCTCACCCCGCACTCTCTCGGCTTCACGGTCCAAGGAGCCCTCCAGGGCAGCCAGGAACAAACGCATCTTGCCCAGCTGTTCCCCTACTGCCCCCCGGAACTGACGCACTGTCTCCTGGGGGGGGGGGGGCAGACAGGAAAGAGCATTTGACTGGGGACCCCCAGCCTGGACCCCCAGTCCTGGGCTCTGCTGGGATGAGTCCCTCACCTCCACTTCCAGCAGCTGATGCTCCAACAGGGCCACGCTCTTCTCCTTCCGCATACATGCCTCCTGCAGCTGCATCTTCTGCTGTGGGAGCTGCGTCTGGTGGGGGGAGGGCAGATATAAAGAAGTGATGCTACCGCCCACCTCCCCCACCAAACCCACACCTCCCCGCCTTAACCCACCCTCTCTGGCTCAGCCTCAATGCCAGCTCCTCTTCCAGCCAGGCTGGCAACTCATCAGCCCCCAAACACACTTGCTGGTCTCAGGCACTTGCCAGTACCGGTTCTGAGATCTGGAATGTCTCACCCTCCATTGTCTATCTCCGTTAAGTCCTCCCCAGCCTTGTCTTCCCTGATTGCATCCCCCCAGCAGGCAGCCCCTCAGCATAGATCTTTGGGAAGACGATGATCACAGATGTAGTTGGGTCTCCTCCCCTGGAGAGGTAAGGGCTTGGCACATAGCGGGTTTCAGGGGTTAGTGGAGGATGTGCACAGGAGACAGGCAGCCTCTTCCTATTCCTGCCTTCACCCTGTACCTAAAAGCAGAATCTTAGCAAAACCCTCTAACCAGCCTCCCTGCACACTTGTCAGCTCTGAGGATAGTAGTGTAGTATGAGTTGCTCAGTTGTGTCCAACCCTTTGTGACCCCATGGACTGTAGCCCACCAGGCTCCTCTGTCCATGGAATCCTCCAGGCAAGAATACTGGAGTGGGTAGCCATTCTCTTCTCCAGGGGATCTTCCCAACCCAGAGACTGAACCCCGGTCTCCTGCATTGCAGGTGGATCCCACAGCAGTGCATGGGATCAAGCATGGCCAAAAGCTTAAAAACAATGTCTTCTGCATGGACAAACCAAACAAACCTGTGGGCCAGCTCTTACTCTAGATCTGTCAGTTTGGGATCCTGAAATGCAGATATAGCGGAGTTCCTAACACCTCCAGCCAAAGCCAGTTCGCTGGGAGGTGCACGGCCCTGGAATCAGACTGTTCCAGTCCTGTCGCCCTGACTTCCAACCTCAATTTTCCTCTTTTGCAGAATGGGAACGGTTATCCCCCACCTACCTTACCTGTGGTTTTTGGGACAAATTGGCAGCCTCTTCCCCCCCTCCTCTAAAGGAAACTAGGAGACCCTCTAGGCACTGTTTGCTATGAGTCCTCACTGAAATTGGACCATGGGCTACTGTGGCCGGCTGCCAGGTCAGTCTCCTTCCCCAGACATCTTCCAGGGCCACAACCCTGTCTGCTGCAGGGCAGTGTGGCCTTGGAGGCTCTCAGCCATCTGAGGTTCATGGGAGACAGGGCTGAGCCATGGGGACAAGCATGATGGCACCCTAGAGGCTGGGGGCTGAACGAAGAAGGCTCTTGGAGCATCCCGTGGTGAGGAGGTGTGGGGAGCAGTGCTCGACGCAGTGCATGATGGGTCTCACCGACAGGATAGTGTCCTTCTACTCTGATGTAAGCAGGAGGAGGCCACGTGACTTTGGGGGTTGTGAGTCCCTGGTTGCCCAGCAGATCCCATTCAACCACTCTTGAGTCTTGGCACGTGGTCTCCGGACCTCTTCCTCGCCAAGGACCCAGGTGTTCTGCCCTACCCCAGGTTTCTTGCCCCCCATGTGGCTCAGATGGTAAAGAATCCGCCTGCAATGTGGAAGTCGTGGGTTCGATCCCTAGGTTGGGAAGATTCCCCGGAGAAGGAAATGGCAACCCACTCCAGTATTCTTGCCTGGAGAATTACATGGACAGAGAAGCCTGGCAGGCTACAGTCCATGGGGTCACAGAGTCAGACACACTTTCGGTTTTCCCCCTCCTTCCAGGGATCTCTACTTCAGACCTCCAGCTACTCCCTCCCTGGGGCTTAGGGTGGACTGATGCAGACTCTGAAAGACTGTATCCCAACCAGCCTGCCCTTTGAGGCTCCTGGGCTTCCTGGTGCCCCATTCCACTTCATGGACTCTCTTCTCTTTTTGCAGATAAAGATGGATGAGGATAGGAGTTCTAGGGTCACCAGCAGAGGGGAGCCTGGGTTGGGTGGGCTCCTGCGAGGTGGAGCCTCCTGCAGTCGCCTAGGAGACTACCAGTGAGCACCCCGAGGGACTGGCAATGCTGGAGCCGGAGGGACGGTGAGACTGGGCCCCTGGAGGATTTGGGGGGCTTAAGGGCGGGGTCTACCCCATCTAGAAGTATGGAGACCAGGGAGAAGTGTCTTGCAACGCTGACATTTATGGGCAAAGATTACCACCACCACCCCCACCCTCAACAGCCGCCTGGAGAAGAGAGTGGCAGCTTCTCCATCGCAGAGACGGTGGACTGCTCCAAGCCCCTGACCCCGCCTCCGCCAGGCCCTGCACCTGTCGTTTATTCTTCCAACAACCCTATAAATGGCTTCATGACATATCTCCCTGGGCCTGTGTATACACATACACTCCTGTAGCTCTACACGCGTGTGATCTGCCACACGTACATCAGGCGAGCCAGCGTGTGCCTGCGTCTCCATTTGCCAGTGTCTGGGCATCCGCGGAGATGGCAAACCTCGGGACGCGCACAACCGTGTGTGGAGTCCGGAGGCGTTCAGAACTTCCAGCTCCAACCACAAAAACAGCCTGCACCTGGGTCTCGGTACCACCCCGGGGCTGTGCACAGAGTTGCGTGCACAGGCGTGCCTTGGCCTCCCAGGTCCCTTTGGGTGAGGCTCCATCTGATATCTGTCAGGCCATTACAAGTTTGGCAGCTCCAGGGGCGCGGAAGCGTGGCGGTCCCGGCCAACGAGGCCCCTCTTATCCAGGGCTACGCCCAGCAGCCGATCCTGTTCGCGTGGGCCGCGGGCACCGACCCTGTCCTCCGCTCGGGCCTCAGCGAGGCAGACTCTGCTCTGCCGCTGCGCTCCTCCCGCATCCCCGCGTGCGCTCCAGCGGCCGCGCTCGTCTCGCCGAGGCCGATCTCGGAGCGCTTCTTCCAGGCTCTGGTCTCCGCCAGGCTCCGCCTTCAGCTCATCTTCCCTAGCCGCCCCGCCCCGCCCGCGTCCCTGGCACCTCCAGGCGCCCCGGGCCCTGAAGCTCAGAGCACGGATCGGCCCGACCCCGACCCGTCCAACCATCCCATCCGACCCCGATCCCCGCTGGAGGGGCCCGCACCTTGAGGCGCGCGTGGGCTTCGGCGGCCGGCAGCAGGCGGTGGCCGCGGTGAGAGCCGAGCGAGGCGCACACGCCGCACACGAGAGCGCGGTCCTGCTCGCAGTAGATGCTCAGCGGGTCCAGGTGCTCCTCGCAGTGGCCCTGCGGCACCTGCGCCAGCCCCTCCACCAGGCGCGCCAGCTGCAGGTTGGTGCTGAGCGCCTGCGGCCGCGTGGGGGCCTGGCAGCTCGGGCAGAGCACCGTGCCGTCCGCCGCCGGCTCTCCGGCCACGCGGCTCAGGCAGGCGCGACAGAAGCTGTGGCCGCACTCGGCTGTCACGGGCGCGTCGAACAGCTGCAGACACAGCGGGCAGGACAGCTCCTGGTGCAGGAGGCCGGGCGCGGCCGACATGGCGGGCCTGCGTGGAGGAGCGGTCTGTCAGGGAGACCCGGTCGGGGCCGCGCCTCGGGCCCAACCTCTAGAGGCCTCTCATCTCACTCACAAAGGGACCCTGGCTCAGGCCAAGGGAGAAAGGGAAACTCCCTTTCAGGCCCAAAGGCAGTCTCATCTGCAGTTCTCAGCCCCAGCCCCTGTCAGGGACCTGGCTCAACCCCCACACCGTTCCTAAACTTGAGGCTGGCTTTCAAACACCGTCCTACCCCCAAGTGTCTTTCCCCTGATTTGGCCCCTGGCCTCAGCCCCAAACCCAAATTCTCCAGAGTCCCCACCCTCTCCTCTTCTCTCACCCCTCCAGGACTCGCAGCAAGCCCCTGTCCCCCTGTCCCTCCCCTTCCCCTTTCTCCCCAGCCATCGTCCCCCACCAAGACCCCAGGACTTACAAGTCTGGTTGGAGGTCTTGGCTAAAAAGAGACTCCCAAGAGGCCCAGTCAAGGTCAAGCCTAACTGTAGGCGGCTCAGAGCTGTGTCTGAGGAGAAGCAAGCACCAAGTTCAGAGCAAGGATGGTGATGGGTGCACGGTGAAGAGCAGACCCTCCCAGGCTGAGCCCCAGGACTATATATAGCTTGCCCGCCCATCCCCTCACATCACTTCTGGAAACCGCTCTAAAAGTGAGGACTGAGCGGTCAGCGGACAAGCGTCACATGGCAGGGCCACCTGTCCTGGCCCATCACACTCTGCTGTCCCCAGCCCAGCCTGGAGCCAGAACTCAGAGCTAGCAGAGAAACAGGGCCTCTGAAACCACAGAAAAGACAAACATGATTGGAAGGAGTCTCCGCTTGCTCCCCAATTTCACCGTTTCCAGCCTCCCCTGTTCCCTGCCTGTGGCCCGCTCCCCAGTTTATCACCCACTTATTCCCCAAACTTAAGGCACGGAGTCACACAAGACAGAATCTCCTCCAACCCCGAAAGCTTTCCTTCCTGCAGGACTGAGGGGAGGGTCTTTCCCCATTTGGAGTCTCCAGTGCTCAGCACAAGCCCTGAGGCCACGTGGGCCTCCCTAAGTGCTCAGGAAGGGAATGACAGAGGGACAGTTGAATTAAGGAATGAACAAAATCCAGAGCCGGAAGTCAAAACTCAACCCTGCTCTGGGAGCCTCAAGGCTTATCCTTCAGGTCTCAGTGTAAATTGCATTCAGCATAAAAACCAAAGTCCTCTTACCCTGTTCATCGCTCACCTCTCCCCCTGCTCACTCCAGCCTTGCCCTTTGCACTTCTAACCCCTCTGCATGGAACATTCTTGAAAACCCTGTTATTGGAAGCTGCTGCATAGCAAGGGAGCTCAGCTTGATGTTTTGTGATGACCTGGAGGGGTAGGATGAGGGGATGGGAGGGCAGCTCAAGAGAGAGGGGGTGTATGTATACTTAGAGCTGATAAACTTTGTTGCACAGCAGAAACAAACACATTAAAATATAAATGAAACACAGTTATGGCGTGACCACCTCCCTCCCTCCCTCAGATCATTCCCCCATGTCACCATTTTCAGTGGGGCTTTTCCTAACTCCCTGATTTTAAGTCTCACATCTTCCTTCCTCAGTTTATTTTTCTCCATAACATTTATCACAATCTGACACATACATATTTCATTTGTTAGTTTCTTGTCTGTCTTCTCCTACCAGAACATAAATTTTGTTCACTGCTCCTCTCCAACTTCCAAAAAAGTCTGGGGCACACAGCAGTTGCTCAGTAAACACTCAATGAATGAATAATCACAAGGACTCACTCTGTCCTTCTCTTCTGACCTCTCAGCATTTTCCTGGATTTATTTCCCCTTGATCAATCTCTGTCTCTGTTAGTCTGAGTTTCCATAAGAGTCAGATCAATTGTCCCACGAGAGTAACCAGACACCCCCACCATAGGTGACAACAAGGTGGAATTATTTTCCCTGATTATAAAGAAGGAGGCAGCTGTCCCCTCCTCCCCTTCTTCAAGGTCATCACACTCCAACTTTTTGGCAAGTAAATAAATCTCCCCAGAAGCCAGAGAGCTCCTAGCACACCTTCTTTTTTGTGACTCACCTCTAAGTTCTGTGGCTCATTCCTTCCTTATTTTTAGTTAATTATTTGGCTACATTGGGTCTTGTCTGCTGCATGCCAGAATCTTCGCTGCATCATTTGGAATCTTAAATTATGGCGCACTCTAGATGTGGTGCTTGGACTTAGTTGCTTCGCAGCATGTGGGATCTTTCTCCTGGAGGAGGAAATGGCAACCCACTTCATTATTGTGCCAGGAAAATCCCATGGACAGAGGAGCCTGGGGGGGGGGGGGGGGGGGGGGGGGGGGGGGGGGGGTGCGGGTGGTGGGTACAGTCCACTGGATCGCTAAGAGTTGGACACGACTAAGTGACTGAACACACACACATATGGGATCTTAACTCCACGACTAGGAATCAAACCTGAGCCCCCTGCACTGTGAGGCAGTTTCTTAACCACTGGACCACCAAGGAAGTCCCTCATTCCTTAAACACTTGCATGTTAAGTTCTTGCATGTTGCATGCTGGCCATCTTAGGAAGCTGCTCCAGGCTTCCTGGTACCTTTGGGGCTTAATCTGGGAACTTTGGGGTAACTTTGGGGCTTAATCTGGGAACTTTGTTCAGGCTGTAATCATTTGGGTGTCTCAGGAAGAGATAAGTGAGGTTTTATGACTCTTTTGGATCAGAGCAATTAACTATATCAATAGCTGTATTATATAGCACCATCCTTATGGCAGAAGTGAAGAGGAACTAAAGAGCCTCTTGATGAAAGTGAAAGAGGAGAGTGAAAAAGTTGGCTTAAAACTCAACATTCAAAAAACTAAGATCATGGCATCTGGTCCCATCACTTCATGGCAAATAGATGGGGAAACAATGGAAACAGTGACAGACTTTAATTTAGGGGGCTCCAAAATCACTGCAGATGGTGACTGCAGCCATGAAATTAAAAGACACTTGCTTCTTGGAAGAAAAGCTATGACCAACCTAGACAGCATATTAAAAAGCAGAGACATTACTTTGCCAACAAAGGTCCATCTAGTCGAGTAGTTATATATGGATGTGAGAGCTGGACCATAAAGAAAGCTGAGCACCAAAGAATTGATGGTTTTGAACTGTGGTGTTGGAAAAGACTCTTGAGAGTCCCTTGGACTGCAAGGAGATCCAATCAGTCCATCCTAAAGGAAATCAGTCCTGAATATTCATTGGAAAGACTGATGTTGAAGCTGAAACTCCAATATTTTGGCCACCTCATGCGAAGAACTGACTCATTGGAAAAGCCCCTGATGCTGGGAAAGATTGAAGGCAGGAGGAGACAGGGATGACAGAGGATAAGATGATTGGATGGCCTCACTGACTTGATGGACATGAGTTTGAGCAAGCTCCAAGAGTTGGTGATGGACGGGGAAGCCTGGCATGCTGTAGTCCATGGGGCTGCAAAGAGTCGCACACGACTGAGCAAATGAACTGAACTGAACTCAATTAACTATATACATGACTATAGATTTAATTCTTCTGGTTATGTGAGTAACCATAGGGAGATAGGGAGCTAGGGCTTTTTCCCAGAACCCTGAAAAATCCAAGAAAGTTCCACTTCTCCAAACAGGAAGCGGGTGGAGATGAGCGCACACCGCAGCATCTTTCAGCTACAATATAAGGATAAGTAGGATAATAAACCCTCATTCCTGGAAGTTTGTTATGAGAGTGAAATTATTATATTATCTAGATGAATAATAAACTAAATAGGTAGTAAACTGAATGATCACCGAGGAGAGGGTTCTGGCACCAAGGATTTAGGAAGCTATGACTGCCACTGTGTGTGTGTGTGTGTGTTCAGTCACATCCAACTCTTTGGGACCCCATGGGTTGTAGCCCATCAGGCTTCTCTGTCCATGGGATTTCCCAGGCAAGAATACTGGACTAGGTTGCCATTTCCTCCTCCAGGGGATCTGCTCGACCCAGGGATTGAACCCGCATCTTTTGCCTCTCCTACATTGGCAAGCAGATTCTTTACCACTAGGCCACCTGGGAAGCCCCTGACGACTGCCCCTACGACATTCAAATCTTGACTCTGCTCTTTCCTCATTGTGTGACCTTGGGCAAGTCATTCAACCTGACTTTCTCATCTGTAAAATAGGGATCACATCAGGATTATTATCAAGACTATTGGATTGTTACGAAGATTCAACACGCCAATTCATAGAAAACTTTTTGAACAATGTCAGGCCCATACAAAATGTTCAATATTGTTGACATTGATATTATTACAATTATTACTATTAATTTTTCCAATGTATCTTCCTTATACTCCAGTAGGGTCAGTAACACCATCCCCACTTCACTGATTGGGAAACTAAAGCTAAAAAACTGTAACAATGACAAAAGCACAGACTCTGTACTAGCCCTGTTCCAAGAAGTACATAATTCTTAATCCATTTATAACCTCATAACAGTCCCATCATTGCTCCTATCTTAACTGAAGCCATGAGGCACAAAAAGATTAAATGCCTTGCCCCATGTCTTGGCAGTCTGGTCCTTCTGGCCCCAGGGGTGCAATCTGGCTCCAGCAATCAAAGAATTACTTCTGTTGGGGGCAAGGAGGTCAGGTCACACCCAGGAAACATCTTACCAACCCCAGCTGGTCTGGCTTAGTGCAGGGGGCAAGAAGCTTGGCCTGAGGTGAGACCTGGTGGTTCTTTCCTGCCAGGAGTCAAAGCTCAGAACTCTGAGTACTTCCCCCAGAAAAGGAGGGTCAAGGGAGCAGGGATTCCCATGGCTTCGCAGAGAGTTGCCCAGGGCTCCTATCCCCCACCCCCACAAGGGAAAGCCACCCTCCAATCTCCAAGAACAAGCCGGCTCCGGGTCCACCTCCTGGGGGTTCCCTAGAGAAGTCACTGTTCTCAGAGCACCGATAGCCGTGGCCTGGTGAGTGCAGACCCCAGAGAAGGGCTGTGACCAGAGTCACACGGCGAAGAGGCAGAGGACTTGGGAACCAAATCTGAAAGGGCCTGATACCCCTTGTCACTTGCTTTTCCCACTATTCCAGGGTCTTCTGAATGTGCTGTCTAAGTTTCTGGAGCATTCTGCCAAGAGGAGAATAGTAACATTATCCTTTCTAGTATTGCAACATCTGCCCTCCTAAGGGCGTGTCCGGACTTCTGGAGGAGGCTTATGTTCCCAGATGCATTATCTCTCTAAGCAATCTATCATTGTTTTGTCATAAACATACAGTTTTTTTTTTCCTTTTTTATGGCGTATAGTTGCTTTACAATGTTGTGTTAGCTTCTGCCGTACAGCGAAGTGAATCAGCTGTGTGTATACGAACATCCTCTTGGATTTTTGGATTTTCTTGCCATTTAGGTCACCACAGAACACTGGGTAGGGCTCTCTCTGCTGTACAGTAGGTTCTCGTTAGTTGTCTATTTTATACATAGTAGTGATTATATGTCAATCCCAATCTCCCAATCCACCTCACCACCCCTTCCCAGTTAGTATCCATACCTTTGTTCTCTACGCCTGGGTCTCTATTTCTGCTTTGCAAATAAGTTTATCTATACCATTTTTCTAGATTCCGCATATATGCATTAAGATATATTTGTTTTTTTCTTTCTGACTTACTT